TACACTGAAGTTTGACTTTTCAGGGAAGGGGCTTTGGGGGAAGTGGACCTTACGATTTCTGGACTATGGAGCCATGCCGGAAACCAGTTCCAGGTCAAACAAAACCACCGATAAAGCTGAGGAGCCAACAGCATCCGATCGCAGTGGAACCCTCACACCTTGGCCAAGCCGATGGCCAAAACCGAAAACCGAAACCTTCGAGCGACCAGCTTCCCAGTCGAGTTTCGAGGCGCACGCATGCTCACATGTGAAAGTCAGCCACGATTGCCATTCATTTCGCCAGTACTTTTTGGTAATCTGGTTATTCCAGGAGGAAAAACCAGAACCATGGCAACGGGAACACATTTTTCTGGTTCACTGGTCTGCTGGATTGTACCACTAATAACTGGCGGTAAGTGCTGGAATCGATTCCTTTGTATGCAGATCTTGGTGGCTAAAGAAATCGAAAGTATCTCCGGCGGTTCTGTCATTTCCCACCACACTCTCAACTGCACTGGAAAAAAATAATATTAGTTCATGGTTAACGGATCTAAATGTCTATTAAATATCCGTATAAAATAAGAGTGATCTGATTATTTATTTGGATAATATTTATAGATTATAGAATATGGTATTGGTATCTTTTTTTCTGTGTATTTTTGTGATAACTCACCATACTCTTGATAGCTCACTCTCACTCTCTTTTTGCTCCTCTCAGCTGCTGCACAGCATCTGATCGCATATATCTCGCAAAGGGGTCTGCATGGAGAGATTACTTTTCGGCAGATGAATGCCACCACTGTGGAGATCAAGGCCAACTTGGAGGCCACTCTGCAGTATCCCGACCAGGTCTGGAGTTGGGGAGTTCGCCGATTTCCCGTGGATTACTCCAACACTGATCCCGAGAACGTTGGGTGAGTTGAGTCGCTTGGGATCGCAAGTTTTAACCTTTGATGATGACCTGGAATATCTGGTCCTTCCTGGCAATGAGACGGCTACATGGGGCGCAACATGCAGCTTATCGGAGACCGAGGGATTTGGGGCAAGTCTCCGGTTCTCACAGAGGTTAACCCAAATTCCCGGATTTGCTTTTTCACCATTACCACTATTCAAAGTTCCAGAGCACAGTGGAGGAACGATCTCAACACCCCCGCATAGCCGGACCTGCTACTTCCGTTGGTTGGCCCTGCAGAAGGCGCTGTTGGTGATACATTGGATTCTACCTGATCTATACCACATATGAGAGCATCACCTCCGGAGTCATTGAGGAAGATAGAAGTCCTGTTTCGGGCCTTTCACCCAGCAGCCACTTGGAAAATATTTGTCGCCAGATTCTTCATGATCAATACTGCACTGAGGGACAACTGCAACTTCCACTGCTGGTGTTTGACCCCTCGGAAGGCAGTGGAGCAGGTAACGGGATTCTGGTGATCTGGACTGCCCGTCTTGGAAGGATTGGAGTGGCCAAAATGCCCTTACGCTCGCCACAACGCAGTGTTTTTAGGGACGCTGGCTGGCCCTGTTGCCTCGGATCTTACTATTCCACACCGAACTCTACCTTGTACTCCTCGATAATCAGCATCCGGATTCCTACCTGGGCTTCAAGATTCGCCTGTTCAGCCATTGACCCACAGTACGTCGGACTTACTGAGGTTCTCTTGCATCGCATTTTGTTATATTTTTTGGCAATCTAGAGGTTTTTCCAACCGCAGAACTTTCATCAATTCTGGTGGCGTCAGCGAGGAAGTTACTTACCAGCGCTCCCAAATTGACCCTAACTTTTCTTACTTCACCTTGGGAGCACCATCTCTTTCCCAGCATGTGAGTCGCAAGTTTGCTTGAAAGATGTGGCGGCCTTCGGATTACAGTCTACCGCCAGTGCCACAACGAATGGGTCGAGAGGATTACTGTCTGACCACCGGAGAGAATGCATAATCCCCGAGAAGAGATAAACTGAAAACATACCCCCTCCCGGTTATGGAACGCAGGAACAGTATCCCGTAGGTGATCTCTCTGGAAAGCTGCAGGGACGCACTAAAAGGTTACTGGCATCAGTATGTCTTGCCGGAACAAGCTCAGAGCTAAATGGCCTTACTGGGATGTCTTTTTACCTCTTCAAGGACGTCACAGCATAGCCCAAAGGAGCCTGGTTATATACACCTTCTGATCTGATGTATCCAACATTACAAAGATGATTTGGGGTTGTTCCAGCCTCGGACAGTACCAGCGGAATGGGGTCTACCAGCAGAACATAGTTACAGCTCAGGTTAGTGAATAAACTTATTTTATATTTTCCTTGTTTATTGATACATTTATTTATATATCTTTCAGGTTCTGTTCCGCTATCCTGTGGTCGGTCGTGTCATATTCCGACAACCGGCGGAGCAGCCTTGGCAGGACACCACCGTACTCTTTGAATACCTTATCCAGGCGGATGGATCCACACAGAACACAACCACCGATCACCGCTGGGCAATCCACAACAACGCGCCTGGAAAGGATTTCTACGATTGGCAGCAGCGCTGCATTTCCGCAGGACCCGTGTTTAATCCCTTCCGAGTGGATTGGGGCAATCGTAGTGTCGACGACTTTTGCCGACCCAATTTGCCATCCATGTGCAGATTAGGGTGCCAGGGATTCCAGGCTGGGAACACTTGCCACTATCGCCGGAGGCAGAAGGGTTGCACAGAAAATCAGCAGAAGGATGTTTGTTGACAGTAACCTTCCTCTCTCTGGAAGACATGGAATTTTAGGTAAATCTTTAGTCATCTATGAAGATAGTGGTCCTAAGGCCAGAGGCGAACGTTTGGCCTGTTCCGCGATAATTGGACATTTCCGGCGCAAAGTGGTTGCCAAGGAATGGTATGCCAATGGTGATCCCTTGACCGTCAGTGGTCGGGTGGAGATTACCCAGCAATCGGAGTACGATATCAGCAATGTGGAAGTGCAGCTTAAGGGACTGCAGGATAACACAGGATACCACATCCACAGGGTAAGTAAATGGTAACATATCCAAGATTATATATAATTATTCTCATTTTTCCAGACCCCTGTAGAAGCCAATCTGGCCTTTCCATGCGAAGCCTCCACTCTATATGGCCATTGGAATCCTTTTGACGTCAGTCCAAAATCATCACCGCCTGCTAAACGGGGAACCACCGATCAGTACGAGATGGGAGATTTGAGTGGAAAGTTTGGAGGACTTGAGGGAGTCACCCAGTTCGAAGATGCTTACAACGACACGAATCTTCCGCTCTTCGGCTACAACAGCATCATTGGAAGATCTGTGGTCATTCAGAAGAAACAAAAGAATGCTCGATGGGCCTGCAGGTGAGATAACAAAGTCTTATAATCTTCACTTATTTCAATTTCCAAATTTAGTACCCTGGAGCGTGGTTATAGTCCTAGCGAGGCCAGGGAACTCAGAGCCATTGCCTCCTTCCATCATCCCACTGGATATGCCTATGGTTACATTAAGATGACCCAGCTTATCCACAATGATGGTAGTCAGTCGGAGACTGTGATCGAGGTGAAGTTACGCCATCCCGGCAAAAACGATAGGAACTCAACGAGGAATCACAATTGGCAGATCTTTGTCAATCCTGTGGGTGTGGATGCTGCTGTTAAGCCCACAATCACGCGATGTGTGGCCGGGGGTTACGTTTGGAACCCATACTACACTCAGTTGGCAGATCCTTTGAATGTACGTTTTCTAGAGATAAGTAGGCAGTGTATCCCTCTAACTAGGACCTCCTCTTTTAGTTGGATCTCTATGAGCAGGAGTGCAGTCCGGATAACCCTTTGCGCTGCTACGTAGGCGATGTGGGAGCACGCTTGGGTACCATAGGTATGAACTCTTTTAATACCAATTTTTATTGTTGTATTTAACTTTTTATTTTTTATTTTTACCAGATCTCGGTGGCGAACGAGTAGTCCTTACCGATTCCAACTTCCCTTTGGAAGCTCCTGTGGGAGCCATAGGACGATCAATTGTGATCTTCGGGCCAGAACACTCTCACGAGAGATTTGCCTGTGCAAATATTGAACCCGACCACAATGTGATTAAGTACATCAACCTGCAGAAACCGCCCCGCTTTGTAGTGTAAGTAAATTAACATTAAAAACCTATCTACCTTAGTTAACTAATCTCTAATTCATTTTGTTAGTGCCCAATTTCTGGAGGAGTTGCGTTCTGTAATGGGAATCCCAGAGTGGATGTTGGATGTGGATGCTCGTAAGACCAAGGAGCTTCATGGCGGAGCTTGCATCCAGATGATCATACATTTCAAGGGTCCGCTGGCCCACCGACTGGAGTTAGATATGTCTCGATTGATTGCCGCAGGGAGATTGGATGCCCCTAGTCTATTCATTCCGGGTTATGTGAACCAAAAACGAAAGGCAACCATCTCTTACCGCACCTGCGGTGTAAGAGATACCAATGAGAAACGTAAGTTCATATGATTTGGGGACTAAGTATAAATCTGAGAATTCCTTTATGTTCAACAGGTACCAAGAACTTCAAGGGTGGCTTTTATTCCTCAAACTCAGCTCCAACTGAACCAAAGCCTTTCGTTTTAGCTTTAATAGTCATCGGCTTAGCCCTTAGGTTTCTCTAAATTTTCTTTGTTAAATACTCAAATCCAATTTAAGTAACACAGTAGTCATTAGGCTAGATCATAGAAATCTGTAAATTAAAGGCTTAGTTCAAGAGAATCTAATATAATAATTTCTGTAAATATTCCATCAACTGAGTTGAATAATTAAAAACAAAACAATTTGAATTTTTATTAAATAACTCGGAATTCCTTCACCAATGTGTTTCAAAGTTTTTGAAAGTAAAGATACGTTACAGAAACACGTGGGACCAACTTGGTGGTGGATTTACAATCGCTACATAACTCAGGAGAACTGACCTACAATATCCGGACTCGAGCATATTCCACCACCAATCGAGACCCACCACTTATAGTTTATTTCTGCGCATGAGTCTTGCCCAATCGATTTTTCAGTATATACATACATCCCTCATTCAATCGAGGCCAGGCAGTCTTTGGTGTTAAAGACCCCAGTGAAGACGCACATTTGCATCCAACTCCAAAATGCAGCTGATTCTCGTTGCGACCTTGCTGTGCCTGGCACTCGGCAGCTGCAGTGCATCCATAAGTGGACCTTTTATTCTATGGGGTCATTCGAGGGTGTCTGGTCTACAGTCCCAGGCTTTGGTGGAATCAAACAGCAGGGAACTGCCGCTGACGCAACTCTTCACCGAGGCCAAGGCAATTGTGGTCTTTGTGCGGAACTCAACCAATCGACTTGAGGGAACCAAGTATCCCATGTTCCAGAATCTCGTCAAGAGTGGAGCCTGGACTTATCTGCCACAAAGGAGTCTCGCAGCGGAACCATTCGGTCTAAATGCCAACATTGAGGTGAGTTAGAGGGCACAAAAGTGGTGCTACATATATGTTTGCGACGCCAATTAAATATTCTGAGAGATCAAAATAAAATTGTTCAAAATATATGTATATCTTTTTGCCGGTTGATCTTTGTATACAAGCTTAATTTTTCCCTTTCTTTTTATAGGTCGTAAGCCTCTCAGGACATGGAGAAGAGGACGACTCCGAAATTCTGTCAGCCTACAACGACGCCTTAAACACCTACGGTCGTGGGGAAGTGCTTGGCATTCTGGCCAGCCGAGAGGAGGAGGCTCATTTTCTGGCCAAGAGGGAGGCTACTCCAGCTGCCGAGGAGGAAGAGAAGCCAAAGGCTGCTGAAGGTGCTGAAGAGACTGAGGCCAGTTTCATTTATGTGGCCGAGGGAAACAAGGCGGTGCTGAGCTTAAATGGACCACTGGAACTTCGGCTGACGAATGACACCCTGAAGCTGGAGGAGCACATCAAGCAGATCACCTTTGATGATCAGCGTGCTAAGGGATATGGTCGATTGAGCATCACCTTTATGCATTCCGGAGAGAAGTGCACACTGCGTTTTAAATTCTCCCTGGTTCGTGGTTCCTGGACCTTGCGCAATGTTGAGGTTGAGTATCGGGAGCTGAAGAGTGTCCTAGTGGCTCGTGGTGATGAGTATACTCTGCCCTCCGCTCCGTTGGGATTCTCCTACCGTTGTTCCGCGGAAAACGTCAACTTCCTGAACCCCGCAAGGAATGAGACGATCCAGAGTTTGGTCCTCACTGATTTCCAGGTGCAACCGTGGCTGAACGGACGCCAGGAGTATGGCGAGGTCTACGATTGCGTGGGTTTCGTTACGGCTCCCATCCTAGCAGGACTCTTTGTGGTGACCCTGCTTCTTGGCATCCTGGGACTTGGGATATCCGCCATGCTCAGCATGCATACACCCAACCGGTTCGAGAGTTCGCGCAGCAAGCAGTTGACCTTCACCATACAGGAGTAGGAGAGTCACTAAGACGATAATCATTAATGATCCAAGAGATCTCCGGGAGCCATGTTCATCCAGATCACCTATGTGGTGTTCAAGCCTCTGGCCTTGTTCACCCTGGCCATCGAGCTCTTCCTCATCCATCTGCTGTTCGTGTTGATCGTGCTTTACGTGTATGTGCTATGGTATTACTGAAGAGTCAAAATTCGAAATGAACTATTAAAAATTTATAACTGAAATGAAAGCCAGCAAGCCAGTGAAGTTTCTTTGAGAGTGGTTAAAATATCAAGTAAAATATACTGCGTTGAAATGCAATTTAAAAGCATGCCGTTCCCTAAATATTTAGTGATCCCTTAATCATAAATTAAACAAAAATATACCAAATTTATTAAATTACAAGTTAAACTACAATTTAAATACTCGCTGCAGGATAACAGATATAAATAAAGGATGCCATCAACTTTCAAAGGGTCTTATACGATGGGAAGAACTTTAGTTTTGGTTGTTTCCCATTATATTAAATTATAGAAAAATCACAATATCTCTTCTTCATACTGCAATTTCTCTTAAAGCCTCTCTCTTCGATCTCAAGCCAAAGTTCAGCCCACAGGAAAAAGTGAAAAGCGATGAAATTCTGCACAACTGCCAAATAAGGATGAGAGGAGTCTGGCTGGAAATTCTGGTTATCTTGGCGGCGGCTGACTTTTGTTTTTAGCCATTTCTCTTCCCGGCGATCGCCAGCTCACTTTCATTGGATTGGTCCCGCAGCCGCAGAGTGCGCAATTAAGCCGCATTCACCGATAGAGATGCGTGAGGCAGCTGGATTTGTACACTGAAAGAAATCAGTAATGAAATTGTGGGGCAAAAAGATTGATTTTAAAAGTAACTGGCAGGCAGTAAATAATCTAAATTGATCTGCAACTGATTTGATCTTGGTGGTGTTGTAACACGTCAACCCATATATCATGTTTCTTGATATCCTTCTTGTTTAAATAATTTATGAAATTGAAGTTTGACAGTAATCCTTTAGGAACAATATTCAAAGTTTTTCTCGGTGTACTATGCAGTATCTGAATCTTCGGCTGGACCCCTAACCAAGCCCAGTCTGGTAGTTGGAGGCTCGTTTATTTATGCATCATTAAGTCACGCCAATGGTTCGTTTGGGCCACTTTTGGTTTATTTTGCGTGTGCGTTTGTCCGGCCAGTTTTTCGGTTCGATTTCTGTTTCTACGACTGACACTCGACACCCGACAAAAGACAGAAGACAGCCGCTGCTGGCTGTGGGCCACCCACTTTTCTCCACAGATTTCCCAAAATATATGTGAGCAGCATCTCCTTCTCTCTCCGAAAGATGATAGAGATGGAGATTAAGATCGGGGCGACTTATTGTTGGGTCGGGAAGTGGGTCGCCTTCGATTGCGTTCACTTTTCCCGCGCGGCTTTACTTTTACTGTCAACCGAACGTGCCCCAAGTTGCAAGTGGCCAGTTCACTGACTCAAAGAGAGAGTGAGAGTCCCGCACCTGATTCTGTAATAAGAATCGCGATCGCTGGCAAAAGTTTGTGAAAGTTGTTGTCAAACGGCTGGCCAAACCAAACCGAACCGAACCGAGCCAAACTGCCTGTCAAGGAGCCGCGCATATCAGCCACATGATGTGCCCAGACACCGAGTAGGTTCACTGAGAAAAATCTTTTAATTTTCAAGTTGAAACTGGAAAACTTTTTTCGCATTTTGAATTATTTGATTGGGTAACATTTCTATGCTATGAAAATGGTACTGATCTTTGAGGCTCTTAATACAATGATAAGTTTTACTAGTAATGGAAAATATAATTCAACAATATTTCTCTGTCGGCTGGGAAGAGTAACCGGTATGGCCTCTTAATCACAGAAGGGGGCCTAATTTCTCTGTCATCGAAGTGATGAGTGCGCCGTCCATTTGATTTAATTGCAAGTTGCAACCGCACCATAGACCAATCGGTGCACTTTCCTCGAGGGCCTTATATAAGAACTCAATCCATAGGGTAGCCCCGGATAATGCGGCATGAAATTGAATTATTTTCACGGAAGCTGGAGGTGAGAGATTCGAGGCGCGGATGCACCACAATAGAGTGGCTTTATGAGGGGGGCTTAATCAATTCAAAGGGCTGCAAGCAGCGGAAATGGCTTTGTATCTGTATCTTTGTATCTGCGACTATTGCTGTGATGTTTATCTGCGAGATTCGTGCACTTGGCGATGAGGTAATGGAATTCATGAGGATTACGAGTGCATCATGGGATGATCAGACCGAAGACTTCGAGATGCATTCGAGTAGTTTCTCCCCAGATTGACCAACTTCTCCTGGCCACATCCATCTAGTCATGGCTCAGAAATCGGGGCAAGCGATCAATCCTAACGATCAATCCACTCGCTGAAAGTTGCAGTCATCCCGAGTCACTTAGGAGCCGAGTTTGCAGTTTTCAAGTGGCAGCGGCTAGTTGTGGGTCTCATAATTACTTCGCTCAATATTTGTGTTAAAGTTTTACGATTATTGCCACATTTTTCCAGCGAAAGAGAAATCGCCAATTGGCAGGATTGGCAGATGTCTCTGGTGGGGAAAAAGCCGCGTTTCGAGGCATAAGCAGTTGCCTCAGAGAGCTGACAAATAGCTAATAGCAGTGAAAAGTGCGCAGGCGCACTCGAAATGAAATGGAAAAGCTAAATAGCAAAAAAAAAACGCCTAAAATTGGCGACATTTCGCACATGAACATGAAGTGTGGAGCGTCGAACAACGAACATTACCATTAACCATTAACCAACAGGCGACAGTCCGATACGTTTACTAAATCAAACCGTTAATTACTTGATTTGGTAAGCGGTTTCCCAATGCCCCTGTTTGCTTGTTTTTCCTGTCCCCCATTTAACAATTTCTCGCAAATATTTGCACACCTGTCGGCCGCTGCGTTGGCGAAAAGTGAAATGCGTTTAGAAAGGAAGAGGAAGATCTGTGACCATGTGGGACTACTCGTTCCGTAGATGAAGATACAGATGGCACCGCACCATTGCCGGGGACCTTGACTTATTAACACCCAATCCAAATCCAGGGCCCCCCTGGTACTTCGGATTACGGCAGATGAGTACGCTAACTTAGCCAGATGTACCAGTATTTTTATGACCGTGTCGCAAGCTTAACGCCCTGTTAAGCCGGCTAAATGCAAATGCCGCACACAACTTGCCGCGAATAAATGGGCTCGATCCGACCCCCGATCTCCGAACCCCTCGGAAAATGCCCTGCCAGATACCACTCACCTTTGTGGGAGCTCGTTAATTGCTCCGCTTTGGTTACAGTTTGTGGAGCGTCTTCCAATTGCGCGCAACACGTGAAGGTGGCGCAATTTTCGGGCTCTTGGAACTCGGGTCTTTGGTCTACATGCATGTAGATAGACCGTTTGCCCCGAGGCCGAATCTTTTGGCCAAGGCGCTGGCAATGGTTTGCTCCAATCAGTTCCCGTCGATCTCGGCTCATTCTGGCTCATATTCCCTCACACCGAAAACAATAAAGCATTATCTAAATAAACTGTTTTATTTTCTTATATCAAAAGATGTATCTTTTCACGTATTTCCAACGCTTTATAGTCCTGACTGGATCCTTCTAAGGCTTACAGTTTCGTCAAATTAAAAAACTATCTCTTAAGTTCAATCAATTTGCAAATTACTCTGTTTTTCCCTGTGCATGCCAAGCGATGGGAGTGTGGAGTCAACACTTGCCCGCTTTTGTTTTTGAACCAACATTTTTCACCGTTTGCCGCCAGTGAAATTAATCCGCCTCTGGCATTGGGTAATTAAGCTAATTAGCTGAGACTGGGCTGAAACCCGAAGTGCAGCCCACCCAAAAGATATGCAAAACTGAAGCAGAAAGATTTCTAAGGCCTTTCCCACCGTTGCATCATAAATAGTAGTAAAATCATAGGCCACCGATTGGAGATTCTTGTATTGAAGGCATAGTTTTGGGTACAGCATCTGTAGAAAGCTCGTCTTTTATGCGATTTCCTCCCCAACTTGTTGCTGCCAAAACCGCACACACTAACCCAAATTCCCCAGTCCCATGATGCGGACTGCCCCCCGCGGAGTCGTCCATTATTGCAATTAAACTAACAATCGGTAAATGGTAGAAGAGCAGCTGCATCTGCACCGGTGGCTTGCACTTTCCGCTCGAGGCGGCGAGCGCTTTAACTTGGCCAAAAACAAACAAACATCGACCATTAGTTGGCTCAATTCAAATCGTCCGCCGGGCGGAGGCAACATCTGCCACTATCGTCTGTTACACTGAAAGCAGAGAATTATTAAGTATTAAGATTTTACAACCAAAACTACTAAACAATTTTATGTGATCAATGCAAAAAGATCTTATTAACCCTTTTATTTTCCCAAAAATATTTACGTTAAAAGGTTTTTGGTACTATTTTCATCTATGTGCATCTTAACTTGTCCAAAAAGCTTCTGCAGAGGAGCTAATCTCGGTGGAACTCTTTTGGGCCGCTCAGCTGCCTTGATCTGCTATCTTTGAGCGGACTTTGAGCCCTCTCTCGCTCTCTCTAGGCTCTCTTTCGCTCCCGTTGGCAGCCGACTGTCTGTACCGCTGTGGTCATGACATTCGTTCAGTTTCAGTCTGCTTTGGACTTTTACCGCGATCGGTCGTGCTCCGCTCCTCGCGATTTTTCATTTGGCATTTCCCAATTTTGATTTTCCTCCGTTGGGAGCGCGTGCTTAAACGGTAAACTGCGAGAAGAATCGGGCGGAGAAGAGCGAAGGCGGGCGAAAAAGACTGACAGCTTCTTCGCCGAGACAAGGAATTTCCCGTGGCATTTGCCACACAAATGTTAGACGAGTTAATGAAGTGCAAAAATGTTTGTAGACTGAGTGGTGCTGCTGCCAAATGAACACGAAGGCGCCGTCAACTCTGTGATTTGCGGTTGCATTCTACGAGATACAAGATACAAGATACCAGAGACAAGCTCAGGCTACAGTCTCAAGACCCCAGAAGAAAGACTACAGCCCGTAGTGTTTGACCCTGTCGCTTTCGGCAGCAAAGTGAAAATTGCTCGGGAGCCGAGAAAAACGGAGAATCTGTGACTTCTTTGGTGTCAAGTGAGAAGACGACCTGGCGATACTCCTGTGGATTAGTGGCACACTTACCCAGAGCCAGCACCGCTGAAAACCATGTAAGTGGCACGAAAACATCACAGACCCACTGGGTGGGTGTGAACGGAGCGGGGAATAGAGTTGCCAATAGAGTTGAACGCTCCTCAGATAGAAACATTACAAGAAATCTTCACGTTTTTAGTGGGAAGCCGAGCGGATAACAACCAACTTTCCTCAATCGGTTGAACATCACATCTGGGTGGGTTTAAAGCTGAAGCTAACAGGGGGCTAACTTGAATTAAATATGTATTAATGGTTATAGGAGGCAGATCTCTTTTTGTCATTTTGTT